AGCCACAGGTGAGAGCTGAGTGAATCAGGCGGATGCCAAAGGTAGATCAGCAGTCCTGAAAAGTGCTCATCAAGGCCTCACACCAGAGGTGCTAGTTTTCCCTGAACACCTGTACACCCCACCTGGACCCAATTACCAGTGAAATGGCAGAGGGAGGATGTCAAGAGGGTACATGTTGAGTTCCAGTGCTGTCCGATAGTCAAGCCTGGGGTCTGTGGATTATTAAGCCTAATTCACTGGACCTATTGAATAAGTACAGTTTCATAGGGGGATAAGATGTATATTTATAGGCAACTATACTACAAAATAGTGTATCATTACAATGCAAATAATATAAATATATGATACAAAAATATATTAGAAAGGTGCTAACATGTTATGTGATCTTTGAGAGTTATTAGTAATAAAGAAGGACTGATTTTTAAAAAGAAGCAATTTGAAATATCTGAAGTTAATAACTAATGCCATGTGTAATGGAGAATATCATATGTTAGAGCAGGACTTCTTAACTTTTTGGTGTCATGGACCTCTCCAGGCACTGTCTCAATGTTTATTGACTGATTGACCCCCTTTGGCAATTTGGTAAAAACCTATGGACCCCTTTTCAGAATAATTTTGAGCACATAAAACAAAATGCACAGAATTATAAAAGAAACCTAAGGTTGGAGAAAATAAAGATGTACTTTTTTCCCCATTTGAATGCATGGACCCTCTGAAATCTATCCATTGATTCCTTAGTGGGGAGGGGTCCCAGCTCTGGATCCCAGGTTAAGAATCCCTTAGAAGTATTTCCACCATTAATAGATGCAAAGCAATATCATCCTCAGCTTGTCATTCAAATCCTTGACAACCAGGCTCCAGTACCTTTCCAGATTTACTTTACATTACTCCTTCATTCACTTTCCCTTCCAGTCAAACAGGACTACTAGCTACTTCCCCAAACTGCACATGCCATCTTCTAACTTGATACCATTGGAATCTCATTTCTGCAGGTCACTCTCTCCTCAAATCCTTAGCTTAACACAGTTAAACTTTAAGAGGACACTTTCTTTAGCAAGCCTTTCAAGATCCCCTTGGTTATTAAGTATTCTTTCCCTCTACAAATATATCTGTATTTATTTATCTACTTAAATGTCATTCTTCTAGTGGAATGTGAGTTCCTTGGGAGCAGCGATTGTTTTTGTTTTTGGCTTCATCTTTGGACCCCGAGCACCTAGTGCACAGTGAGTACTTGATATGTACTGAATTTTCTATTTCTATTTGATGTAGTTTTAGAAATGCTAACTAGAGTAATAAAGCATAAAAATAAATCAAAAGAACAACTATGGATAATTCTTATTTGAAAATGATATGATTATCCAAAAAATTCATGATTCTGAACAACAAAAAAATTGAGATAATAAATGACTTGAGGAAGGCAATAAATCCACAAAAATCACTTGCATTTGTCCTTATAAATAAATTATATTCTCCTCTGAAACTACCTACTTTCCATTTATTCTATATGTACTCTAAAGGATGTCCCAAAAATCTTAGTGCAGTTTTAATTACTTAAGTTGCACTAAGACTATTGGGACACCCTGCATCTGTTATTTCTCTGTCTCTACCTCTGTTTGTCTGTCTACATGTACTTATAAATATAAAAAATATACATATGTGTATGTATGTATATATGTATACATATATATAATATATACACACATATGTTGTTTCCTTCATTAGGATAGGAGCTTCTTGAAGGGCAAGGACAGACTTCTTTGGCTTTTATTTCTATCTCCATCGCTTGGCACATTTGTCAGGTATATAATAAGCACTTAATAAATACGTGTTTACTTGACTTGAAACACTGACAATAGAATATAGATTGATGTAGCATCTGTCTCACAGAATTGTGAGAATCAAACGAGATAATGCAGGTAAAACCCTATGAAAATGTTAGCTATTATAATTTTGAATGAACATATATGTAATTTATTGCACACATTTTCCCCTGAAATTTAGAATGGTTAAAATACACCTACAGTTAAAAATATATATACAAAACAAGAAATAACCCAACATGTACATTTGACCCAGCATTTATACACACTATCCAAATAATTTGGAGAAAGCAGAAAATTGTCATAAAATATCCAACTCAGAGGGAAATATCCAATATAAAAATTCTGGTCTGTATTCATTTTTTTGTGTTGAGCACACTGGTGTTTGTTGTTTGCAACAACAACAAAAATAAATCTGCTTGGGAAATTAGTATAACATATTCAGTCTTAAAATTAATACATTTATTTCAATAGGGTAGGGAATTTTAAAAAATCAAACAGTATATACAAAAAGAACAAAATTTAAGTCAATGATACTATAATGTTAAGGATATGATCTTGATCACATTTTGCCTCTGAACTCTATTATTATACATTCTTCCTGTTGGACGTCTTCACTTGGATTTCCCATATGCATCTCAAACTCAACATGTCCAAAACAGAATTTATATTCTTCCCCTAAAACCATTCCTTCTTTGAATTTCCTTATTTCTTTTTATTTGTAGAGGGAAAGAATACTTATAACCAAGGGGATCTTCAAAGGCTTCCTGCATAAAGTATCATCTTAAAGTTTAACCATGTTAAGCTAAGGATTTGAGGAGAGAGTGACCTGCAGAAATGAGATTCCAATGGTATCAAGTTAGAAGATGGCATGTCCAGTTTGGGGAAGCAGCTAGGTTGCTCAGTGGATAAAGTGTAGGGCCTGGAATCTGGAAGACTCATCTTCCTGAGTTCAAATATGGCCTCAGACAATAGCTGTGCAGCCCTGGGCAAGTCACTTAACTCTGTTTGCCTTAGTTCCTCATCTGTCAGATGAGAAGGAAATGGCAAACCACTCTAGTATCTTTGCCAAGAAAACCCCAAAATGGCATCACAAGAGTTGGATATGACTGAACAATGAAAAGTTCTTCTGTTGAGGGCACACCATTCTTTCAGTCACCCAGATTCACAAAGCAGTGAATGAGATTCTTCACTCTCATTAACCAGCCCCAACTTGCTATCCACATCCAGTTAGTTACCTGTTATCAATTTTACCTCTTCAACGTATCTCTAATCTTGTTCCCTTTTCCTTCTACAACCAGAATTCCCATCACATCTTGACTGGACTATTGAAATAGGCTCCTAATGGGCTCTTTGCATCCAATTTCTCTTCCCTCTCCAATCCATCCTCCAACAAAGCTGCCAAATTGACGTTTCTAAAACACACACAATGTTGCACATATGTGCATTAAGTATATATGTGCATATATGTATACACTTGTATATGTGTATATATGTGCACATACTGTATATATGTGCACATACTGTATATTTATGTGTACAGCCACTCCCTGGCACAAAAGCTGCAATAGAAAAATAAACTCTATTTGGCTTTTGACTGTCTGGCTGGTCTGTCTTTCCTTCTTACATGTATGTTCACCCTCACGCATTTATATTCTGGACAAATTGACCTACTTGTCATCCTTTCATCTATCCTACATTTCATCTCTTTTCTCTGCTGTCTCTTATGCCTGAAATGTTCTCCCTCCCTGGTTCTACCAGGTAGCATTCCTAATAACCCCTCCCCACTAGCAGTACTCAACTTTCATGCCACCACAACAAGGCCTTTCCTGATTCCTCCATCCTTTTATTTTGTATATACGCATTTGTTAATGTCTGTATCTTCTCCATAGGATATAGGCTCCATGAGAGCTAGGACTATCCCACTTTTGTAGTTGCACCCCAGCACATTGTAAAGTACCTAGGATGTGTCACAGTAGGCACTTACTAAGTCAGTTGATAAAAATGTTCTTCAAAGAAGCCATGCTTAGAAGCTAGTCAACAGATCCAGTCCCTATCCCTACTTTGCAAAGTGACTTTACACATATTATTTCACCAGATCTTCACAACACTGTTGAGGTTATTATTAGTGCTACAACTATTATATCTAACCAAAAAGGAAACTAAGGCCTAGGAGTTAAGGGACTTGCCCCAGGATCACAATTCAAGTGAGTGCCAAAGTTCAAACCCAGTGTTGGAAATTTGACTCCAAGTCCCGTGCTCTATGTCACTTATTATTTTTAAAAGGTCATTACATTAACACCAGGATACCTAGAATTGATTACTGGGAAGAGAGATCTTGATCACCCATTTGGTATTTATTTCTTTCCACACTGCTCCCCAAATGTATGCGGATAGCTAGCTACTTTTTGTACCAGTATTGAAGGTTATAGTCGTGGTAAGAGCAAGAATTCGGAGCCTACTTCACACCAAGCTTCCAGAACTTAGCTAAAACCTTTCCAGCTTCTGCAATAATGTAGTTTTACAGCCAGCAACTGCTGTTACAATTCATGTTCCATTTTTCAGCCAAATCAGTAAGCATTTAAGCGTCCACGACGTGCCGGGCACTTGGGCTGGGAGCTGGGGATATAAGTACAAAGAATGAAAACAGAGGAGCATGGCTTTGTTACAAGGCAAGTTCACGGGGTAATTCTTCGGCTTTTCCTCCACTCAACAAATCACACTGGAAGGCAAGCTTTGTTTGCAGTTTCTACTTAAGAAGGCTTCTTCGAACGAAAAAGAAAAATGTAAGCATGCAGGGCAGCCTACAGGACTTTGGCAAAAAGTCCTGCAGAAACTCTGCCCCCAGGAAGGCTGGCTTAAGCTCTGCACACTCGGACGTAAGCCGAGCCCGGAGACTGCCCGATGGCCTCGAAGACGCCTATCTCGACTTCATTCTGCAGATGAGGAAAGTGGGCCCGAGGAAAATAACTGGCAAGGCTAAGAACGGTAACTTCCGACTCGGAACGCAGCCACCTTTACCTCACCCCGCTCCGCGGCCTCTGCGTGGGTAGTGCGGCCGCTCCCGCCCCGGGGCTTTTATAGCAGCTTGCGCCGTGACGTAAAGCGACGAGACGTCGGGATGCACCAATCGCGCACGGCCTGGCGGTGGCGGGCGCGCGTGTGCCCGCATTTTGAACTAAAAGCCGGTGTGGCTGTAGGTAGCGGGCGAAAGGAGGAGCCCGAGCCGAGCAGGGTGAGTGTGCACGCCCGCGGTGGGGTTCGGACGGTCGTCCTGGCGGGCCGCTCCGTCCCCTCCGCCCCAGGCCCTCCGCGCTATGGCGCTGGGCCGGGCTGGGGCCAATCCTCTGCGGCGCGGAGAGCCGGAGCCAGGCAGGCCAGGGGTGCCCGGAGCCCGTCCCGCCCCCGCCGCCGGGGTCTGGGCGCTCTCGGGCCCCCCGGGAGCAGGGGTGGGGGGCGGGGTCGGGGCCTGTGTGTCTGCGGGGAGCCGGAAGCTCGGCGGCCGCCGGAGCGCGCTTCCCGCCCTACCCGCTTTTCTTCCTCTTTTTCGGTCTCTGTCGGCCTCTGCCCTCCGTCCCCGGCCGCACAGCCGCGTGCTTCGACCTCCTTCCTCCGGCCCCGGCTGCCTCCATGCCTCCCCCTCCTCCGGCCCACGCGCTCAGGTCTCCCCGCTCCCCGCCTTCTGGACACAGTCCTTAGAACCAGCTGCGCGGGGGACCTTCCCCTCACTCCTGGACACCCGCCCGGCTGGTGTCAGCTCCTCCCTCCCAGTAGAATCTATAAGTTCCTGGAGAGCGCGGTGCCCAGGACGTAGTGGACACAACAAACGCTTGTTCATTTATTCGATTATTAATTGCTTCTCCCTTTGTCCTGCCATAGTAAGGTAATGGGAAGAATGCTGGATTTCTAGTCAAAGGACGGAGAGTTCAATCCAGATTCTGCTCCTTACTACCTGTTGGGTGACCTTGGGCAAGTCACTTAACTCTCTGAACCTGAGTTTCCTTATCTGTAAAATGTTGGATTTGGACCCAGCGATTTAAAGGGCTCCCATTTAGGATCAAATTTATGGTTCTATGAAGTCCTGTCCTACTTTCCCTGACCCTTGCTGGGGCAGCCTCATTACTCTCCCTCCGTTCTCATAGCTCTGAGTGAGTCTGTTTTAGGCAGGGCATTTACCTAATTGCTTTTCTTCTCCAGTCAAACAAATATATACAAACAAGCCATATACGAGATAAATAGGTCATAATTAAGGGAGGGCAGACACCAGGAAATAAAGTGTGGGAAAGGCTTCCTGTAGAAAAATGAGTTTTAGTCAGGATTTAAAAGAAGCCAGGAAAATCAGTAGAGAAAGATGAATAAGGAGGGTATTCCAGGCATGTAGGACAGCCAGAGAAAATGCCTGGACCAGGGAGATGAGGTGTCCTGTAGGTGGAGGCCAGTGTTACTGAATTGGAGAGTAGATGTGTAGGAGAATAAGATGTAAGAAGACTGGAAGGGGGAAACGAGTAGGTTATGAAGAGCTTCCAGGCTAAAGACAGGTTTGGTATTTGGTCCTGGTGGCAATAAGGAGCCACTGGAGTTTATTGATTGGGGCAGTTGACATAGTTGGACCTGTACTTGGGAAAATCATTTTAATGACTGAATGGAGAGTGTTTTGAAGTGGGAAGAGACTTGAGGCAGGCAGACCCACCAGCAGGCTATCTAAATAGTCCAGAAATGAGGTGGTGAGCATACCAGACTGGTGGAAGTGAGAAACGAGAGGGTGTATTTGAAAGATGTTGCAGAGGGGAAATGGACAGGCCTTGACAGGAGCTTGAATGGGGGGGGGGGGGGTGAGAGATAGTGAGGAATCCAGGATGACACCTAGGTTGTGAGCCTGAGGGACTGAGAGGATGGTGTTGCCCTCTAATAAAGGAAAGATTGGGTGGGGGAGGTGGGAGAAGAGGGAGACTTTGGGAGAAAGATGCTGAGTTCTGTTTTGGACCTGTTGAGTTTAAGATGTCTATTTGACATCCAGTTTGAGATGTCTGAAAGAGAATTGTAGACAAGATTGGAGGTCAACAGAGAGTAAAGGCAGGATAGTAGATTTTAATCAATCAATAAACATTTATCAAGCTTCTGTTATGTGCCAGGCACTATGCTAAGCCCTGGGAATACAAAAAGAGGCAAAAGACAATCCCTGCCCTCAAGGAGCTCATAATCTAATGGGGGAAACAATATGCAAACACATATGTATAAAGCAAGCTATATACAGGAAACAAAAGAGGGAAAATGCTGGAATTAAGAGGGTTAGGGAAACCTTTCTGTAGAAGGTAGCCTTTTAGTTGGGACTTGGAGCGAGGGCGGTCAGGGAAGAGCATTTCAGGCATAGGGAACAGACAGAGAAAATGCCTAGAGCCTAGAGATGGTAATTAAATCCATGGAAGCTGATTGAGCTCATCCAGTGAAGTAGTATAGAGGGAAAAGAGAAGAGGACCCAGGAAAGAACCCTGTTGAACACTTATAGTTAAGAGGGCAAGATCTGGATTAGGATTCAGCAAAGGAGACTGAAAAGGAGCACTCAATTAGGTAGGAGGTAAACCAGGAGAAAGTGGTGTCCTGAAAACCCGTAGAGAAGAGAGTTTCTAGGAGAGGGTGGTCAAACGCTGCCAAGAGGTCCAAGAGAATGAGGATTGAGAAGAGGTCATTGGTTTTGCAACTGTGAGATCATTGGTAACTTTGAAGATAACAATCTCAGTGACAATGTAAAGTTGGAAGCTGTATTGTAAGGGGTTAAGAGTGAGAAGAGAAGGTGAAGGCACCTATCATAGATGGCCTTTTCAGTGGGATAAAATCATAATTTTTATAAGTGAGCAGGAAAATATCAACTTCGGCCTTTTTAACTTATCATAACTCATTACAAAATATTGTTTTAATCAGCCAAGATCTATCTTCTCATTCTTCCACCCCAAATCCACACCCCCCCCATTACAAACCTAGAAAAACAAAACTGATTACAAACATGTAAAGTCAACCAAAACAAATTTCCACAATGACCCTGCCCTTTAAAAATTGTTTCATTTTGCATTCTGAGTCATTCACCTCTGTATCAGGAAGTGATTTTTCATCATTAGTTCTCTGGAATTGTGGTTGGTTATTACTCTGATAAGAGTTTAGTTATCTATCTCTCTCTCTCGCTATCTCTCTCTCTCTATATATATAAACTTGTTTGTTCCCTGATTTATGACACTCCCTCAGATTCCCATTCTTTGACACCTCAAAAGGAGCTATAAATTATATCCTTAGAGTTTGTTTTAGTTAGGACTGATCCCTCCCTTAATCTTTGCTTCCTCTACCTTTCTCTTCCTTCCCTTCGCCTTTTACTTCTATTTCCCTGTTGATCAAAATGTTTTTCTATGCCCAACTGTGTGTGCGTGTGCGCGCGCGAGCGTCTCTGTGTGTGTTCTTCCTTCTTTTGACCAGTCTGAAGAGAGTGAGGTTCAAGTGTCATCTTCTCCCATTCTTCCTCCTTTTTGTAGACTTGTTCTTGAGCAATCTGATTTTATAAGATCATTTTCCTTAACCTTCCTTTCCCTACTCTTCCCTTCTCTTTCTATTCTTTTCTTAAAATCAAAAAGCCATAACAGAACACTCCCAGGCTTTGTCTAATTAGACTACTTTTATGATCCCTGATAAGATGATAGGGTTCAGAGGGGGCCCACATATCCTCTCCCCATATTTGAATATAAACAGTTTGTCCTTATTTAGGCTTTTATCGTTCATGTTTACCTTTTTGTATTCTCCTCACTCTTGTGTTTGTACTTCAGAGTTTCTCCACAGCTGTGGCTTTTTCATCAGAGATTACGGGAAGGGAATATGTATTGATATAGTGCCTACCTTGGGCCAACCACTGTTCTAAGTGCTTTACAAATATTACCTCATTTGATCCTCACAACAACCCTGCAAATTAGATGTGTTATTATCTCCATTTTACAGTTGAGAAAACTGAGCCAAACAGAGGTTAAGTGGCTTGCCCAGGGTCACATAGCTAGTAAATGTCTGAGGTGAAATTTGAACTCAAGTCTTCCTGACTCCAGGCCCAGTGCTCTATGTACTACACCACCTTATTGCTGGTAATATTTGGAAGTCTCTATTTTATTAAAAATCCATTTTTCCATCTGTACGATTATACTGAGTTTTGCTGGCTAAGTTATTCTTAAGCTATAAGCCCATATCCTTTGCTTTCTAGAATGTCATATTGAAGTTATCCATTCCTTTATGGGAGTGGCTACTAAATTCATGTATGATTCTGACTGGGGCTCCTGGTACTTAAATTCTTTCTGTCTAGCTACTCAAAGCAATTTTTCTTTGACCTGGAAGCTCATATTTTAGTTATAATGTGCCTGAAAGTTTTTCTTTTGAGGTTTTTTAGGAAGTGACTGGTCGATTCTTTGTATTTCTACTTTGAGCTTTGGCTCTAAGAGATATGGGCAGTTTTCTTTTTAGATTTCTTCAGATATGTTTATATCTTTTTATTGGTCATGGCATTTAGATAGTCCAGTAATTCTTAACTTTTTCTTCCTCAGTCTTTTTTCCAAGTAGGTTGTTTTTACTATGACATATATTAAATTTTCTTGTATTGTTTTTTCAGTCTTTTAACTTTGTTTTAATATTTTTTGTTGCCTCATTAGCTTCTCTTTGGTTTGTTCTAATTTTCAGGGAGTTACTGCTTTGGTAAAGTTTTTTACTTCTTGTGACAAGCTGTTACTTATCTTTCCAATTCTTTCTTCCATAGCTTTTATTTCTTTTTTTAGTGCTCTCATTTCATTTATAAAAAATATTTAAACTTAAAATAAAACCTCTTGCTTCATCTCTTCTGGGAATTCTAGTTGAATTTGTGCCCAAGCTGTATTTTTCTCTGTGGCATTGCTTGTAGATGTTTTAGAGTCATTCTTGTCTCTTAGGTTTGGGTCTTCAGTGTCCCTGCCACAATAATAGCTCATTATGGTGGGTTCTTTTTTTGTTTGTCCATTCTTCCAGCCTGCTTCTTGACATGTTTTCAGAGGTAGGTTCCGCTGTTCTTGTTGAAGGGAGATCTGGGCTAGTCCTGCTTTCTTGGTATTGTGTTTCATTCCAACATCTCAGGGACGGGTTAAGGACCTGAAAGCTTTCAGTGATCCCAAAGTGATCTGATCCAGGGCAAAGTCTGATTGTTTGCCCCCTGATCTGAGCTCTGCAGTGCTGGTGGATTTTACTCCTCTCAGCCAGCTGGCAAGCTGTGTTAGTTGGAAGAGACAGAATTGTAGGCTCCCTTTGGTTCTGGGATTCCTTCCTTAGTTATTCTCGTGGAGGCTGGGCTAGATGTTTTAAGTGAGATGCTGCTCTGAGTCTGGGGTCTGCACCACCCCTCTGCTGCTAGCTTCTTAACTTCTTTCTTTCTCTATGCATGGCCCAGGGCCTCCTTAGGCAGGAACACTAACCCCCCTTCTCAGTCTGTTCTGGATCTGTGACCTGGAACAGGTTATCGGGCAGTAAAGCTACCAGTTGGCAGCTGTCCCCACCTCTGTGGTCCAGAATGGGTCTGAGGGGTACCCATATAACTCATATTTACTGGCACTTTAAGGCTTTATGTCCAAATTGCATAGCAAATATAGGACCAGTGGGCCAGATAGTGAGCCAGAGTTAGTGTCTTTTGACAAAATAAGATCATAGATTTGTAGCTGGAAGGGACCTTGGGGGCCATCTAGTCCAACTGCAACCTTTTAGAAATGAGAAAGCTGAGACTCAGAGCAGTTAAATGACCAAGCCATTAAATGACCGTGGTCAAACATCTAGTGTTAGAGGAAGAATATGTCCTGCCTCCAAGTCTAGTACCTTTATCCATGATTATACCATGCTTTTCACTTCATCATTTCTTTCATTCAGATACTTACTCAATATTAACTTATTTAGTACATTCATTAGAATATAGTCTAGATTTTTTGGAACTTAAAATCTGGCTGGCTTAAATCTTAGCGTTGCCAATAATTGGAGTTTTTTAGTATAGTAATGATCGGTGATTTCCTTGGGTTGAGTATTTTCTTTAATGGTGTAAGATTGTAACCTTAGTATATGGTATTAGTGAGTTGTGGTGGTTAAAACAATATTATCACCTACTCACAAACCTTCTGGTGATGTGTACCCAATAAGTATATGCAAGTTTTCCTCATGGAAGGTAGCCAGTTCCTCAAGAAGCCAAGATCATTTATCAAGGAATTGATGAGGATTTTAATGAAAAGGGAAGTATATTTCAGTGTATACCTAAATAGGGTTGTGGCCTCTATTAATTTCTTATTATAGTTAAATTAAATATACAGAAATTTACAATAACTTATTGCTTCCTATAAAGTAAAAAGTAATTTTCTTCTATGTTAACTGAATCTTAGCATTTAGGGATTTTTGTCAGGTCTTCAGGCATTTTCTGGCCCGTACTGATTAGCTTCCATGCTTGTCTACAGCAGGGCTAGCTAAAGATAAAAGCTGAAGTTAAAGTGATAGAAACAGATCCCTGCAGGCTATATATGGACTTAGAAGACCACAAATGAACACTTACTATGTTCTATTTTTATTTATTATGTTAAACATTTCCCAATAACATTTTAATCTGGTTCAGTTTTGCTGGCTACAGATATTCTCAGGCTATGAGTTTGATACCTCTGCCTTAAAGCATTATATAAATACTAGCTATCATTATTATTGTTAACTAGTCCAACCCCTTCAAAGAAACTAGAGCCTTGGAAGTTGTGACAACTAATCCCTGGCCCTACCGTGCTCTAGGACAGGTGTCAAGTTTGAGGCCTGATGGCCACACACTGCTGGAAATGTAATTGGGAAATGTTTTAACAAAATAAATAAAAAATACAGTACAGCTTAAATAATGTTAATTTGTGGTTTTCAAAATCAGTATGTGGGCTGCAGGGGTCTATTTCTATTTAAGTTTGATAGCACTGCTGTATACTGTCAAAGATACCTGCCTGAGGTGAAAGACATGAACCCATCCTTTGAGGAGGAACATACATACCAGAAAGAAATACATGAAAGAAATAGAGAACACTTATAAGGCATTGTATCAGCAAGCATATTATTCTTCCTATAAGGTCTGTAATAGAGCATATGTATTAAAATTAACTTGTTTTGATATTTTGTATACATCCTTTGATAACTAGTGATCTCCTGGATTGACACAAAATTAAGATTGTGAATTACTGTTCTAAATAATTTACTGGTTTTTTTTTTCAGTTTTCTTATAGATGTCATTGTATAGCTATAAATCTTAACCTGAAGGTAGCTAAAAGGAAGAGTTTATATCTGTGAAACTTTTCATTATGATGCCTATTATAAGGTTACATGCAAATTGATATTTAATAAATATTCTGATAAGATACCACGTAGTAGAGTAGTTCCTCAGATCCTTGAAATTTAATCAATTTTAACAGAAATAAGTATAGCACTTCATGGAACTGATGAGTGGATAAAGTGATAATGTTTACTTTTTTGAATATCTTGATCTCCTAATATTAAAAATTGGATTTTCCCCCCAAAACAAAATCATATGAATACAGATGTTCAAATAAGTTTGGCATGAATTACATTAGACTTGATGAATCAACACATCCTTTTAATCAGTGAAAAATATTCTTAATGTCATGAATAACAGTTTAAAATTTTCTTTTAGATAAAACCATGAAGAAAATTGAAGTTTTCTTGAATTCTACTTTCCCCGTTTTCCCTTGAAGTTTTACTGTGAACAATTAGTTTTAAATAAATTTTCTGTTAAAGGACTTTTTTGGTAATCTTATCAAGATGATTACATCATGTCCACAAAGTCCAGAAACACCAAAGTTTTCATTGAATTCTCTTAGAAGAGGAAATGCACCGATTAATGCAGTTCTTTCAAAAAATATACCTTCAGAAACTCTTACACCATTAAAAGATTTAGTGAAATATAAAAACAACAATTTAAATGACAACAATACAAATGACCTTAAAGAGCACTTGAGCTCAGAAACAGAACAATGTAAGAATGAAATCAGTTCACTTCGGTCAACAATAATAGCTGGTAATCTTGGCTCTGACAATTTTTCGGATGGCTCTGATGAAAAAGCTAATGAACACAGAGAAGCAACATTTTTTCCAAATGAGGAAGTTTTCAAAGGAAACAAAACTTTTGACATTGTAACCTATGACTCTCCTGCAAAAATATTTCAAAGAATGAAAGCAAGGTCACTAGAAGCTACTCAAAAGCAGTCACTTAAAGACAGTATATCGTTGGAGTTACAGAGAAGTCAAAGAGATGTGATCTTGAGCCCTCTTTCACTGGAGAAAAGTAAACTGGATAAGACTTTTATTTCTGGCTTTCCTGATTTTCACAAAGTGTCATCAGATGATCATTCATTTTCAGGTTAGTCTTATTACTTAGGTTAGTGCTAATTATTTTAAAAGTGAGAAATTAGGTAATTGCAAAACCAGTTAAAGGATAAAATTGTATATGTATTGATACATTTTTGTGGCAAGGATGCATTCTAATCTAGAAATAAATACCCAGATCTTCACTATTGTGTATGATTTTGGGTAGAGAGTAGAAGGTTCAAAGGAAATTCTTCAGTTGGTGAGTAAGCATTTATTAAGCACCTACCATGTATATGTCAGGCACTGTGCTAAGTGCTGGGGATACAAAAAGAGGCAAAAGAAAATCCTTGCTCTCCAAGAGTTCATAGCCTAATGGAAGAAACAACCAATGAACAAATATGTATAAACAAGCTGTATACAAGAGAAGTAGGAAGTAATTAACAGAGATAAAACACTAGAAGTAAGAGGGGTTAAAGAAGACTTCTTGTAGAATGTGAGATTTTATATGGGCTTTGAAGGAAGTCAGGGAAACCAGCAGGCAGAGATGAGGAAAGGAGAGCAATCCAGGCATGGAGGACAGCCAAAGAAAATGCCCAGAGTGGGGAAGATGCCTGTTTCAAGGAACAACAAGAAGGTCAGTGTCTCTGGATTCAAGAATACATGTTGTGTTTAAGGTATAAGAAGACTAGAAAAGATAGGGAGTAGGTTATGAAGAGCTTTGAATACCAGAGAATTTTGTATTTGATGGTGAAGGCAATAGAGAGCCATGGGAGTTATTGGGGTGGGGGTGGGGGGTTGAGATAGACAAGTCTTCCCAAAAGAGGTTAAAAGTTGAGAGACCAAGTAGTGCTTTAGAATGGACTACTTCTTCCTTACTCTCCATCCTTCCACTCAGGTAGCCTGAGAAGAGACGCAAATGAACATCTCTGTTGGGCATTGGTCCTATAGAGAGAGAAGTGTTTGCATTGTGGCAGAACTGATTGTTAGTTGCTGACCTTTCCTGTCATTCCCTGCCCATTTCCAGTTGAGTGGAACTGAAAGCAGACAAACAAATTTGTCTTTACAACAAATATCATTGCAAAATTTTTTTGATATTATTATTATTAAGTCCCAGTCATTGGTTTCACTAATAACAGTATATTCAGTATAACACAATTTTAGTAGAGTAAGTATTCTTGAGTTTGTTACGTTGATTTTCAATATCTGTGGTACTAAGTTATCTTTTGTGTGTCAAGAATAAGGCCTAAAGTTTTTGATAAAGAAATATATAGAGACCTGAGTCAAATTTATAGAAATGAGAGCCATTCCTCAATTTATAAATGGTCAAAGGATATGAACAGTCAGTTTTCAAACAAAGTAATCAAAGCCATCTATAGTCATATGAAAAAATTCTTTTTAAACACTTGATTAGAGATGCAAATTGAAAAAACTGAGCTACCACCTCACACCTATCAGATTGACTAATATGACAGAAAAGGAAAATGACAAATGTTGGAGGGAATGTGGGAAAATTAAAACACTAATGCCCTGTTGGTGAAGTTGTATATGGATTCAACCATTCTGGAAAGCAATTTGGAACTATGCCCAAAGGGCTATAAAGCCATGCATGCCCTTTGACCAAACAATACCACTACTAAGTCTGTATCCCAAAGAGATAAAAAAATGAAAAGGACTCACATGTACAAAAATATTTATAGCAGCTCTTTTTGTGGTGGCAAAAAATTGGAAATTGAGACGATGCCATCAATTGGGGAATGGCTGAACAAGCTATGGTATGTGAATGTAGTATATTATTGTATAATAAGACATGATGAGCAAGCAGATTTCAGAAAAACCTGGAAAAACTTGTATGAACTGATGCAAAGTGAAATGAGCAGAACCAGGAGAACATTGTACAGCAGTATTTTATAATGATCTGTGAAAAATCTGGAAGACTTATGATGAAAGGTGCTGTCCATCTCCAGAAAAAGAACTAGTGGAGCCTGAATGTGGATCAAAGACACTTTTTATTTACCTTATTTTTCTTGTTGTTTGTTTTTTAATCTGTCTTTTCACAGCTTGACTTAGATGGAAATGTGTTTTGCATGACTACACATGGATAACCTATGTCAAATTGCTCACCTTCTCAATGAGGAGCAGAGGAGAAGGAGGGAGAGAATTTAGAACTCAAAATTTGAAAAAAGAATGTTGGGGCAGCTAGGTGGTGTAGTGGATAGAACACTGGCCCTGAAGTCAGGAGGACCTGAGTTCAAATGTAGCATCAGACCAAACACTTGACACTTACTAGCTGTGTGACCCTGGGCAAGTCACTTAACCCCAATTGCCTTTTAAAAAAAAATGCTAAAATTGTTCTTATGTGTAAGTGGGAAAAAATTATTTAAAAAAAAAAAAGAATAAGGCCTAAACCATGGTTAAATTTTTCAATATCTTGGAACCCATCTGTATTGGTTTTCCTAATTGAGAGGTTTGAATCATAGTGTGGTTTATAACATGCTATGGTTAATGACCAGTTTATTTCAGAGAATCCCAGAAGCCTATTGTCTTGTACAGTATTTTAAAAATTATTAAATTATTCAATATCTAAAGCTCCTTCAATACCTAGGAGAATAAGATCCTCGGAAGCAGAGTAAGGAATAATCTGTGGATTTTTGAAAACTCAGCATAATTTTTTCTTGGGAACGTTGTGCTGATGTGGAAGTTTGATATCTTACCTGTTATTTAAGAGTAGTATTTGATAGCAAGAGCTTTATCTTTCAAAGTTTGTAAAGTGATGAAAAACTTGAATGAAGAGTAGGGTGCTTATTAGGGAAAAAAGCACTTGGGGATTAAGATGGAAGTCAGTATTGAGGGAAGATAGAGTACAGTTTAGGTTGAACAATCAGATTTAAAGAATCATGGATAATGGCTTAATGGGAGGCTTGAAGAATGGTCTTGAACATAGGGTCTCTAATCTGTTATTGCTTCTGCTGTTGATTTTTATAATTTATAATTGGATGAGGCATAAATGCTTTACTTGTTGAATTTGTAGATGACTCAAAACTAAAAAGGATAATATGTTGAATGGCAGAATTCAGAAGTTTCTAATAGGCTAGAACACGCCCGCAGAACCTATGCCACACTAAAGGATTTTGTGCAGTCCGAGAAAAATGAAGAGGAAAACGTCTGCGGGTTGTGCAGGCCTGGGCTAGAACAAAGTGCTAAATCTAACATAAGAAGACTTGATAAAATAGAAATGTAAATTCATATACCCGGGGTTTAAAGAGTCAGTGCCACAAGTACAAGATAGAGGAAGAGGTAGGCAAGTTCAGATGGAAAAAATGTGGGAGTATTAATAGACTGCAAGCTCAATATGAATCTATCTGCAGTGTAGCCCAGTAGCCAAAAATGCCAATGCAATCTTACTTGCCCATAAGAGAATAATGTCAGTGCAGCTAGGTGGCGCAGTGGATAGAGCACTGGCCCTGTAGTCAGGAGGACCTGAGTTCAAATCTGGCCTTAGATCAGATACTTGACATTTACTAACTGTGTGACCCTGGGCAAGTCACTTAACCCCAATTGCCTAAAAAAAAGAAAAGAAAAGAAAAAAGAGAAGCATAATGTCAAGAAAGACAGATGTGAGAGTGTTTCTGCTCTGGTTAGACTAGGTCTGGTGGTTTAGGTTTATTTCTACCTGACAGTTTAGGAAGTTCACTGATAAATTGAAGTGTAGCCAAAGGAAGGTGGGTGGCATGATTAGTGACCTGAAGTACCTCCTGTAGCAGAAACTGAGGAGGTTTATCTTAGAAAAGTGGAGACTTGGTGGGGCAGGCTGCTCCAAGCCTTTAAAAGACTGTTCTAGAGAAAGGAGATTAGCCTTATTTTGTTTCAACCCAGAAAACAGAATTAAGTGCAGTGGGTAAAAGTTACATAGAGGAAGATTTGGGCTTGATGTAAGGAGAAACTTCAAGATAATTAGAGCTATCTAAAAGTAGAACTTGCTGTCATAGGAAGTAGTAGTGGATTTCTTTTACTAAAGGTCATCAGGCAAAAGCTGGATAGCCATTTGTCAGATCTTTTGTACAGAAGCTGTTTCTTAGGTACACGTTGAATTAGGTGGATCTTGAAATCTCTCTCCACCCATGAAACTCTTTGGAAAAGTCTTGTCACTGTATTTACTTGATTTTGCTTTTTGATGTCAGATAGTTGGTGATGAAAGTAGGAATAGAACTCATCTCCAGAATCCCAGACTGGTGTTCTATTGTACTAAATTACCAATTTTATATATGTAGATTAAAAAAAAATTCCATCTTCAGGTTGTGAGGAGTGTAATTAAATGGCATTGGGATGGAGGACATAAGTGGGGTGTTATACATGTTAGAAATACTCAAGTAAATATCCTATATTGCTGTAATGAAGTCTATTTAGTCATTAAATGTTTGTTTTCTTTACCTTCACTGATTTCTGCAGGTGAACCTTCTGTTTCTTCAGGAAGAAAAACCTCTTCCCTACCTAGTGAGGCTCCCCTGATAAATTTCCAGAATAAATTTTTCCTTCCAGTAAAACAAAAGATCCCATATCAGCAAGAAAACCAATCTTTTCATCAGAATTTAACTTATGGTAAGTTCTTTGTTCTTACACAGTTTCATTGATGAATAGTGTTAGTTCAGTATCTGTGTGAATTAAAACTTCAACTAACATGCAGAAAATCATTATTTCCCTTTCTTTCTTCTTCTTTCTCTTTATAAAAGCAAGTTTTTATGCCTTAACCATTAAAAAAAAACAACTAATTATGTAAAAAAGTTGGAATCCTAAGACTCGAGTGGGAAGGCTTAGAGGAAAGTTTTGGGTAGAAGAAGAACCTGGCTCTTTTTGAATGCTTGTATTTAAAACTTTAAGCATTTTTGTTTATACTTTATAGCCTTATAATTCCTTATAAATATAATACAATTTAAATGGTTTTCTGCAGACATTACAACTTCGAAAGAAAGACATGAAAACATTTCAACTTCAGTAATTCTGAGTGAAGCATTAGCCAGATCTGCCAGGCTCGTTCAAGACGATGAAAACAGAATTACAAGTGTTGAATTCAGCTTGTCTGATACCCTTATTTTGGAAAGCATCGATGCTGATGATGAAAGATCTCAAAGTCCTAATACTAATGGTATCAGTATTGACTGTGTACCAGCTAACACGGGCAACCAGTTATCAAAATGTGACAGTGAAGTGCCTACAAAAGGATCATTAGATCAGGAAATGAGTGAAGAAAATGAAGAAAAAATCTCTGAGACTGTCCAACAGGGTTCTGCATCAGATACGTTCAAAGTTTTGACTGCAGCTCCTAAAACTCACATAGTAGCACCAGAGAAAAAAGTTTCTAAGGTTTCCACAAGTGTATCACACACCAATAAAAATGCATTCACTACCAAAAAAAAGGTAGGAACATTTCTAAAGCTTTTGTTTTTCTAATTATTTGTTATATTAATTGGAAGCAGGAAGTAGACATACTTTATGTTTTTCCCTCTACTGTTCTTCAAATGATTAGATTTGATGGGCTTCCTAGACATTGAAGGACAACCTTAAATAACTGATGTTTACCTAATTTAAGATGCAGTACAAGCTTACCTATTGAGAAAATGTGGCCTAATGGAAAGAACAAAGGCTTAGGAGGAGTCATTTGTTCTTGACCTGGCTCTTCAACTAATTAAATATGACCATTGGGAAGTCATTTATCTATTTTGTAATCATTTCCTTATCTGTTGGATGAGGATAGTTAATAACCTGCCTTCACTTCTTCCCCTGTATGGTAATGTTAGTCTTTTCTTTGATGTGGATACCTCCTTCAGCAATGTAGATCATAACCTATTTATGTCTGCCCATCTTGTGAAGCTCTTGCCCATGTCTTTCCATCTTCAGTCTACTTAACATACTTTTTCTTTCATTTTCTTGACATTGTGTGGCTATCATTAAACAATGCAGGCTGGCCATTGATTCTTATTTGCCTTTACCATGTGATGAACCTATGTTCTTTTCTCATCGTGAATCTCTACAATGTCATCCTTTGTGCCTCTTCATTTGATTTATTCTTTTTAAAAACAGGTTTTTATTGCTATCTTTTTTTTTTTTTTTGCTCTTTTTGGTGAGGCATTTGGGGTTGTGACTTTTCCAGGGTCACAGTAAGTGTCAAGTGTCTGAGGCTGGATTTGAACTCAGATCCTCCTTACTCCAAGACCGAAGCTCTATCCACTGTACCACCTAGCTGCCCTTTATTGCTATCTTTTTTTTTTTACATTGCCTAGATTTCCTTCCCTTGCTCAATCCTAGAGAGCCATTCTTTGTAACAAAAATTTTAAAAAAGAGGAAAAAGATAAAAAGCAATTTAGCAAAATTGATCAAAAATATGACATTCTATGTCTACACCTGTGGACACTGACCTCTACAAAGAAAGAGGAGGAAGTTTCTTCTAATATTTCTCCTTTGGTGCCAAGCTTCTTTATAATTCACTTTTGATTGTTTTGTGTTCTTTGTTATTGTTGTTCCTTCCAATTACAGTTTTATAGTCATTTTGTGTGTTGTTTTCTTGTCTACTTAAGATAGTTCTTTTTAAACAATAAATTTTTATTGATATTTTTTGTTTATATCACCTAGATTTTGTCCTGTATTCCTCTCCCCACCCTTACACCCCCCTAACCCAACCATCCTATATAAAAAATATTTCTTAAAGAGGAAGAAGAGGGGGAAAAAATCAGCAGTGCTGGTCAGCTCATTGAAAACAACAAGCAAACAAACCAACTTCATTTATGCAGTGTTCCACACCTGAGGACCGCAGCTGCTCCCAAGAAGCATTAGGGAAATATTTTCACATACCTCTTTTTTGGAAATGAGTTTGTCCTTTATAATCTTGCAATATTCAGTTGTGATTGTTTTGTGGCAATTGTTCTTTTTCATTTAAATTGCTTTAGCCAGTCTGTGTTAATTTTCCTTATTCTACTTATAGTATGTGAAAGTCTTTCTATATGAAAGTGATGCAAGTCTCAGATATTCATCATATTTGTCATTTCTTACAGAACCATTATATTACATTATTTGTCAGTTATTCTACCATTATGGACATCTACTTTGTTTCCCTATCTTTGCTATCTCAAAAAAGTCCTGCTATAAATATTTTGTTGTATATGGAGCCTTTCTTTTTGAAGGTCAGTTACCTTTTCAGGATGTATACCTAATGGTAGAATCTCTGGGTCAAAGGGTATAGGTATTTTAGTTGCTTTTTTAGTTGGTTTGTTTTTTTATTTCAAATTGCTTTCCACACCCATGCATTGTTGGTGGAGCTCTTCATATCTAATCTATTAGCTCCTTCCCAGCTGCCTACAAATATGCTTATGTTTCTGAGATCCTTAAAAAAAAACTCTTGATCTTACCATACTCACTAGCTATTAACCTATGACTTTTTTTTTTAAATGAGGCATTTGAGGTTAAGTGACTTGCCCAGAGTCACACAGCTAGTGAGTATTATGTGTCTGAGGCTGAATTAGAACTCAGGTCCTCCTGACTTCAGGGCCAGTACCTAGCTCCCCCTTTAAAATCACTTAGTATTTTTTTGTTTGTTTTGTTTTATTTTTGCTTTTTGGTGAGGCATTCAGGGTTAAGTGACTTGCCCAGTGTCACACAGCTAATAAGTGTCAGGTGTCTGAGGCCAGATTTGAACTGAGGTCCTCCTGACCAGAGCTCTATCCACTGCCCCACCTAGCTGCTCTAACTATGGCTTCTTGCCCATTTGAGGCTAATCTCCAGAGGATAGCTTTCTACTAGGTGCCTCCACTTCCTCTCCTCTCACTTTCTTCTAAACCCTCTTCAGTTTGGCTTTTGATCCTATTCAACTGAAACTGGCCTTTCCAAAATCACCAATGATTTCTTTAATTGCCAAATCTAATGTCTTTTCTCAATCTAGCTTCTTTTTTGACCTCTGCAGCATTTTAACACTTGCTTACCTTCTGGATATTCTCTCCTCTAGATTTTCATAATGCTTTTCCTTGCTGGACATCCTCCTACCTGTCCTACCTGTTTGACCCTTCTCTGTGTCTTTTGTTGATTCTTTATCCATGTCACGCCTGCTAACCCATGGCAGTGCCTCAAGGCTCTGCTCTTTGCTTTCTTCTCTTTTCATTCTGTGTTATGTCACTTGGATGATCTGATCAGTTTCCATGGGTTAAGTTATCTCTATGCAGATGATCCCCAGAGCTAGGCATATGTCTAGCCCTTGTCTCTCCTGAGTTACAGTCCTGCATCACCAACTTCCTCTTGATGTTTCAAACTGGCTATCCCATGAGTATCTGAAACTCAGCATGTCTAAAACAGGACTCATTACACCCCTAAACCCTCCTGCCTTCCTAATTTCCCTCTCACTGTTGAGAATACCACCATCCCTATAGTTAACCTGGCTTAAAAAGTCGTCTTCCTCAACTTCTCACTTTCATTCATTCCCCGTATCTAATCCACTGCCAAATCTGCCAAGTAAAGCTAAGAAATATATGAAGTCCTTTCTTTTTTCTTATTTCATTATTTGAGAGCATTTGCTTTTGCATCAATTTCTCCCAGTATCTTTCCTCCTCACCTCTCCCAGAGAGCCATCCCATATAACAAATATTTTTAAAGAGAAAAAGAGAGAAGAGGGGGAAAAAGCATAATATATAAATACAGCAAAAAGTCTGAAAATATGTGCAATATACCACACTTGTGGACTTCTCACCTCTACAAAGGTGAGAATGTCTTCTCATAACCATTCTTTTGGGCTATTGCTTGTTCTTCATGGTTTTGTTACATTAACATGTTTTTTTGAGTGTGTTCTTTTTGTTCACATTGTTGTAATCATTGTGTACGTTGTTTTCTTGGCTCTGCTTACTTCACTTTGCCCCAGATTTCATGCTTCTCTGTATTCATCATTTCTTATAGCACAGTAAATATTCTCTTACATTCATGTACCATATTGTTTAACCATTCCCAATTGATGGACATATATACTTTGTTTCCAATTCTTTGCTCCCACAAAAAGGGGTGCTATAAATATTTTGGTGTATATTAGAACTTTCTTTTTATCAGTGGCCTCCTTAAGGTATAAACCTAGTAATGTCTGGGGTAAAGACTATGAAAATTTTAGTCACTTTGTTTCATAATTCCAATTTTCTTTCCAAAATGATTGTACTGATTCACATTCCCACCAATAATGCACTAGTATGCCTACCTTCTTCCAACTTTTATTATTGCCCTCTTTTGTCATCTTTGTCAATTTATAGAGTAAGGTAAAATCTTAGGGTTTCCCTGCCCTTCACCCTATCATCTTAGATACTGCTCCTGGGTTTCTGAGCTCTGATAGGGGAGCTTTGGCCTTATTTTGCCTAAAACCAGGCCCCCATGACAATTCCTGGTCAACTCCTGAGCATATTACATACAGTCCACCCATCATCCTCATCTCCTTCAACCTTTTTCTCCCCTTTTCCTCTCACCTCACCTCTGCTTTCCAGCTTCCCTTTATATACTATCTTTTCCCATTAGAATTTCTTGCTTGCTTGTATCTCCAGCAATTATCTCCAGTATTCCAAGGCAATGCCTGGCATATAGTAAGTACTTAATAAATACTCTAAAAACCCTAACCTGCAAATACTTCAACTTATTTCCCATGACATATTCTACCCTACCACAGCTGTACACAAAAATGATCATATCCTTGCTATCACTCAAGTATTTTTCTGTGTTTATGAACTCTGAAATCCCTTTTATCTGAACACAATCTGTTATCATTCAACTTCCCCTTTCGGAACTACAAACTATTTTCTCCTCTCCTGGAGCTCCCCTCCCAGCACACAGATAAAAGTCCTATTTTTAAACATTTTTTTATAATTTTCAGTTCCAACTTCTTTCCCTCCCCCTATTTAGAAAGCAAGAAATAGAGTACTCATTACACATATGAAGTCATACAGAAATATTTTCTGCATTGGCCATATTCCAAGAGGAAAAAAAAAGAAAAAATACACACTAATCTGCATAAAGTCCATCAGTTCTCTATCTGGAGGTGAATACCATTTTTCATCATAAGTCTTTTGGAATTATGGTAGATCATTGTACTGATAAGTTACTAAGTCTTCCACAGCTGATTAGCTTTACAGTATTGCTATTACTATGTAAATTCTTTTTATGGTTCTGCTAACTTTACTTTGCATCAGTTCACATAAATTTTACTAGGTTTTTCTGCAACTATCCCTTTCATCATTTCTTATTGAGCACATAGTATTCCATCACATTTATATATTATAACTCATTCAATCATTCCCTAATTCTTAACCACCACAAAAAGAGCCACCACAAATATTTTTGTACAGATGGGTCCTTTCTCTTTTTCTTTGATCTCCTCGGGATACAGATCTACTAATGATATTTTT